GAAATAAAATATTCTATCCTTCAGGATTGTGTAAGGCTCAGTCCCTACTAAGAATCAGGTGAATTTTCCGATGACAGAAATAATAAAAATTTGAAAAAAATAATTTTTAATGATTTTTAAAAAAAATCCGTTTGTCTGCTGAATGGCGGATGGGGCTAAAAATATTTAAAAGTTGAAATAAAATATTCTATCCTTCAGGATTGTGTAAGGCTCAGTCCCTACTAAGAATCAGGTGATTTTCCGATGACAGAAATAATAAAAATTTGAAAAAATAAATTTTTAATGATTTTTAAAAAAAAATCCGTTTGTCTGCTGAATGGCGGATGGGGCTAAAAATATTTAAAAGTTGAAATAAAATATTCTATCTTTCAGGATTGTGTAAGGCTCAGTCCCTACTAAGAATCAGATGATTTTCCGATGACAGACATAATAAAAATTTGAAAAAATAAATTTTTAATGATTTTTAAATAAAAATCTGTTTGTCTGCTGAATGGCGGATGGGGCTAAAAATATTTAAAAGTTGAAATAAAATATTCTATCCTTCAGGATTGTGTAAGGCTCAGTCCCTACTAAGCATCAGGTAATTTTCCGATGACAGAAATAATAAAAATTTGAAAAAATAAGTTTTTAATGATTTTTAAAAAAAAATCCGTTTGTCTGCTGAATAGCGGATGGGGCTAAAAATATTTAAAAGGTAAAATAAAATATTCTATCCTTTAGGATTGTGTAAGGCTCAGTCCCTACTAAGAATCAGGTGATTTTCCGATGACAGAAATAATAAAAATTTGAAAAAATAAATTTTTAATGATTTTTAGAAAAATCCGTTTGTCTGCTGAATGTGCGGATGGGGCTAAAAATATTTAAAAGTTGAAATAAAATATTCTATCCTTCAGGATTGTGTAAGGCTCAGTCCCTACTAAGCATCAGGTGATTTTCCGATGACAGAAATAATAAAAATTTGAAAAAATAAATTTTTAATGATTTTTAAAAAAAAATCCGTTTGTCTGCTGAATGGCGGATGGGGCTAAAAATATTTAAAAGTTGAAATAAAATATTCTATCCTTCAGGATTGTGTAAGGCTCAGTCCCTACTAAGCATCAGGTAATTTTCCGATGACAGAAATAATAAAAATTTGAAAAAATAAGTTTTTAATGATTTTTAAAAAAAAATCCGTTTGTCTGCTGAATGGCGGATGGGGCTAAAAATATGTAAAAGTTGAAATAAAATATTCTATCCTTCAGGATTGTGTAAGGCTCAGTCCCTACTAAGAATCAGGTGATTTTCCGATGACAGAAATAATAAAAATTGGAAAAAATAAATTTTTAATAATTTTTAAAAAAAAATCCGTTTGTCTGCTGAATGGCGGATGGGGCTAAAAATATTTAAAAGTTGAAATAAAATATTCTATCCTTCAGGATTGTGTAAGGCTCAGTCCCTACTAAGAATCAGGTGATTTTCCGATGACAGAAATAATAAAAATTTGAAAAAATAAATTTTTAATGATTTTTAAAAAAATCCGTTTGTCTGCTGAATGGCGGATGGGGCTAAAAATATTTAAAAGTTGAAATAAAATATTTATCCTTTAGGATTGTGTAAGGCTCAGTCCCTACTAAGAATCAGGTGATTTTCCAATGACAGAAATAATAAAAATTTGAAAAAATAAATTTTTAATGATTTTTAGAAAAATCCGTTGTCTGCTGAATGTGCGGATGGGGCTAAAATATGTGTCTCTGAATGGGGCTATTAAAGTTGAAATAAAATATTCTATCCTTCAGGATTGTGTAAGGCTCAGTCCCTACTAAGAATCAGGTGATTTTCCGATGACAGAAATAATAAAAATTTGAAAAAATAAATTTTTAATGATTTTTAAAAAAAAATCCGTTTGTCTGCTGAATGGCGGATGGGGCTAAAAATATTTAAAAGGTAAAATAAAATATTCTATCCTTTAGGATTGTGTAAGGCTCAGTCCCTACTAAGAATCAGGTGATTTTCCGATGACAGAAATAATAAAAATTTGAAAAAATAAATTTTTAATGATTTTTAGAAAAATCCGTTTGTCTGCTGAATGTGCGGATGGGGCTAAAAATATTTAAAAGTTGAAATAAAATATTCTATCCTTCAGGATTGTGTAAGGCTCAGTCCCTACTAAGCATCAGGTGATTTTCCGATGACAGAAATAATAAAAATTTGAAAAAATAAATTTTTAATGATTTTTAAAAAAAATCCGTTTGTCTGCTGAATGGCGGATGGGGCTAAAATATTTAAAAGTTGAAATAAAATATTCTATCCTTTAGGATTGTGTAAGGCTCAGTCCCTACTAAGCATCAGGTATTTTCCGATGACAGAAATAATAAAAATTTGAAAAAATAAGTTTTTAATGATTTTTAAAAAAAAATCCGTTTGTCTGCTGAATGGCGGATGGGGCTAAAAATATGTAAAAGTTGAAATAAAATATTCTATCCTTCAGGATTGTGTAAGGCTCAGTCCCTACTAAGAATCAGGTGATTTTCCGATGACAGAAATAATAAAAATTGGAAAAAATAAATTTTTAATAATTTTTAAAAAAAAATCCGTTTGTCTGCTGAATGGCGGATGGGGCTAAAAATATTTAAAAGTTGAAATAAAATATTCTATCCTTCAGGATTGTGTAAGGCTCAGTCCCTACTAAGAATCAGGTGATTTTCCAATGACAGAAATAATAAAAATTTGAAAAAATAAATTTTTAATGATTTTTAAAAAAATCCGTTTGTCTGCTGAATGGCGGATGGGGCTAAAAATATTTAAAAGTTGAAATAAAATATTCTATCCTTTAGGATTGTGTAAGGCTCAGTCCCTACTAAGAATCAGGTGATTTTCCAATGACAGAAATAATAAAAATTTGAAAAAATAAATTTTTAATGATTTTTAGAAAAATCCGTTTGTCTGCTGAATGTGCGGATGGGGCTAAAAATATGTAAAAGTTGAAATAAAATATTCTATCCTTCAGGATTGTGTAAGGCTCAGTCCCTACTAAGAATCAGGTGATTTTCCGATGACAGAGATAATAAAAATTGGAAAAAATAAATTTTTAATAATTTTTAAAAAAAAATCCGTTTGTCTGCTGAATGGCGGATGGGGCTAAAATATTTAAAAGTTGAAATAAAATATTCTATCCTTCAGGATTGTGTAAGGCTCAGTCCCTACTAAGAATCAGGTGATTTTCCGATGACAGAAATAATAAAAATTTGAAAAAATAAATTTTTAATTATTTTTAAAAAAAAATCCGTTTGTCTGCTGAATGGCGGATGGGGCTAAAAATATTTAAAAGTTGAAATAAAATATTCTATCCTTCAGGATTGTGTAAGGCTCAGTCCCTACTAAGAATCAGGTGATTTTCCAATGACAGAAATAATAAAAATTTGAAAAAATAAATTTTTAATGATTTTTAGAAAAATCCGTTTGTCTGCTGAATGTGCGGATGGGGCTAAAAATATGTAAAAGTTGAAATAAAATATTCTATCCTTCAGGATTGTGTAAGGCTCAGTCCCTACTAAGAATCAGGTGATTTTCCGATGACAGAAATAATAAAAATTGGAAAAAATAAATTTTTAATAATTTTTAAAAAAAAATCCGTTTGTCTGCTGAATGGCGGATGGGGCTAAAAATATTTAAAAGTTGAAATAAAATATTCTATCCTTCAGGATTGTGTAAGGCTCAGTCCCTACTAAGAATCAGGTGATTTTCCAATGACAGAAATAATAAAAATTTGAAAAAATAAATTTTTAATGATTTTAAAAAAAAAATCCGTTTGTCTGCTGAATGGCGGATGGGGCTAAAAATATTTAAAAGTTGAAATAAAATATTCTATCCTTCAGGATTGTGTAAGGCTCAGTCCCTACTAAGAATCAGGTGATTTTCCAATGACAGAAATAATAAAAATTTGAAAAAATAAATTTTTAATGATTTTTAAAAAAATCTGTTTGTCTGCTGAATGGCGGATGGGGCTAAAAATATTTAAAAGTTGAAATAAAATATTCTATCCTTCAGGATTGTGTAAGGCTCAGTCCCTACTAAGAATCAGGTGATTTTCCGATGACAGAAATAATAAAAATTGGAAAAAATAAATTTTTAATAATTTTTAAAAAAAATCCGTTTGTCTGCTGAATGGCGGATGGGGCTAAAAATATTTAAAAGTTGAAATAAAATATTCTATCCTTTAGGATTGTGTAAGGCTCAGTCCCTACTAAGAATCAGGTGATTTTCCGATGACAGAAATAATAAAAATTTGAAAAAATAAGTTTTTAATGATTTTTAAAAAAAAATCCGTTTGTCTGCTGAATGGCGGATGGGGCTAAAAATATTTAAAAGTTGAAATAAAATATTCTATCCTTCAGGATTGTGTAAGGCTCAGTCCCTACTAAGAATCAGGTGATTTTCCGATGACAGAAATATTAAAAATTTGAAAAAAAAAATTTTTAATGATTTTAAAAAAAAATCCGTTTGTCTGCTGAATGGCAGAGTGGAGTTTGTGGCGATAATTATGAAGATCCACGACCTCGAAATAACGAAAATAGAGGAACTTATGGTTCTGGAATCATTGTTCCAAAGTAAGCATTTGTTACTTTTATTTATTCGACAAAAAATTTCGGCACATTAAATTCAGAGTCAAATAAGATTTGTTTTAAAAACTATTGATTTTCGAAGAATGTTTGAGAACAATTGAATTTTCTAAAGAATTTTATTATAATTTTTGTAAATAATTTAATTCTGGTGAAAAATTTTATTACTTTTGAAAATAATTTAATTTCTTCAGAAATTAAATTATTTTCAAAAGTAATAAAATTTTTTGAAAGAATTTTGTTATTTATAAAAATATTTAAATTCCTACATAGAATTTGATTAAAATTGAATCACTGAGAATAATTTTCATATTTTCAAAAATATAATTGATTTCTTAGGCAGAATTTTATTAAAACTATTTTTAAAAATGGAAATGCCGATAAAGTTTTGGATTTTTTCAGGTACAATTCAGGGGACACAATTCATGTAAAAGTCGAAATTACAGCCAACCATAAGGGCCACTTTCAATTTCAATTATGTCCCTTGAACAATTCTATGGAAATGGAGGAGGAAGAATGCTTCGAGAAATATCCTCTGCCATTAGTCGACGGCTCATATAAATATGCACTGCCCACAGACAATGTCGGATTCTTTGAAACAGATATTATTCTTCCAAAAGGAATTTCTTGCGACCATTGTGTTTTACGATGGGAATACATCGCGGGAAATAATTGGGGCACCTGCGCCGATGGTTTAGGTAAACTTGGCTGTGGACCTCAAGAAACATTCAAGAACTGCTCTGACATTAGTATTATAAACAACTTTCAATAGTAGAAGTAAAAAAAATAAACATCAATTTCCACATATTATAATACTCGACCCCAAAATTTTGCAATCCTTCTAGATGTTCAACTTAAAATAAAATATTCAAATCATCAGGATGTTGTTAAGCAACATCCCAGCTACAACTTAGGTGATTTCCGAAGCATAGGATTAATATTTTGGTCTGAAAAAATCAAAAAGAGACAATAATGTAGAAAATTTCTTATGAAATTTCAAGTCAACTTTCAAAATTCACAATAGAGTCTAAAACAAAATCTAATTATGAAAATAAAAAATTGATTACAGATAAAAAATGAAATGCTCGAATGCAGATGAAAATACATTGTTTACGAGTTGTTCCCTAATCTACCTGTTTGGATATAATTATATCTTTCCTGAAAGAAACATCATCTAGCCGCGCACACACATTAACTGATAGGAAAGTAGGCCTTTTTACTTTGTTTCACTTTTTTTTCTTTCTTTTTTTTAATTTTTTTGCTCAATAAAATATTATCCGCCATCTAAGAAGTATTTTCTAAGTTTCATCATAAAAGCAATATTATACTGATAAGAAAAAGTGAATCAGTTGATAATAGTTTCTTATCAAAATTGTGCTTCAGTTTAAATAGAAATGTCCACGACAATTAAGGGATTTGTTATTCGGTCTGTGCATGAAACCTCGTGTCTCGATTTATAAATAATTAATCAGTAAATACAAAAATTGATTTCTTTTTTTTAATAAGCAAAGTGAATCATTGAGAAATAATGAAAGTGTCAATATTCTCAGGAGTATTGGTATTGATATTGTTTTACTTTTCGGAGATTAGGGGCCATGGAATGTTAATGCAACCGGTGAACAGAGCGAGTGCCTGGAGAAAGGGATTTCGTACCCCAATTAATTATGATGATAATGCTAATTATTGTGGAGGATTTAATGTACGTTTTCTTTTTTTGAAACTTTATTTCTTCTTAATTGCTACTTAATACTGAAAATGGAGTTAAATTTTAAATTATATTCAAACTATATTCAAAGTATATTCGATTGTTTAAAAATTTAATAAATGTTTTAAATTTTAAATTAGTTCAACTATTCAAACTAAACTATTCGAGTTAATAATATTTTAATAAATGTTTAAAATAAGCTGAACTATTCAAACTATACTATTCGGTTAATTAATAATTTAACTAATTAATATTTTCATTAACTAATAATAATAATTTAATTTCTACCATAAAATCCGCTTCTATTCATAAACTACTCTGTAAATTTGAATTACTAGTAAAAAATTAAAAATGTTTACTAATCTGAATTAGTGAATGAGTTTTTGCATTCGAATTAGTAAATTTTACTAAAATTTAAATAATTCGCAAAATTTTTATTTATCGAAGGTTCAATATGCGGCGAATAAGGGAAAATGTGGAGTTTGCGGCGACAATTATGCAACAAAGCAGCCGAGGCCTAACGAAAATAATGGTCATTATGGAAAAGGCGTCATCGTTCAAAGGTATGATAATATATTATCAGCAAAAAAAAATTTTTTTTTTCTTATTTCCCTTTTCTTACTTTTTTTTGGAAAAAGAAAAATTTTCTATTCTTACTTTTTTTGGGAAAAGAAACATTTTCTATTCTCCTTGTTCAGTATTACAATCACGGGAAAGAACAATATGTTGTGTATATGTATTCATTAACATAAACATGCGATAAAATGCCACAGTTTATCGAAACTAGAAGTAGAACACAGGTCTGAATTCAATTTCTATATAACACTTAGATGTGAAAATTAACAACACTCTATAATACAGTACATAATAAACTAGACGCAGTCTGATACAATTTTTTTTTGAAAATTACTTTTGCAAATAATTGAACATCTACTTAAAATTAAAATTTGGAAAAAATGTTCAAATTAATTGGGAAAAATTAAATTTAAATTACAGCAATTATTAAACTGATTGTGCGACAAGAATCGATAAGAGAAGTGACAAGAATATTTACAAATTCACACGTTTTGTACACGAAAATTAATTTTTAATCATTTTTTTTAGAAAAATAAGAAATAAATAATTTTTCCCAGTAAAAAATTTAAATATTATTACAGTTTTACAACAATTAAAATTTTAAAAGATTTTAATTTGAAATCTTTTCAAAATTCAATTATTTCTTTAAAAAATTACACTATAACGTTTACAATATTCAATTCTAAAATTTTAACTGAAATTCATTTAAAAAAAACCATTCTTATTAGAAAATTCAAACGAGAATTCAATTATTTATATACAAGAATAAATAATTAACTGAACAATTAAATTATTCTTAGAATTGAATTCAATTATTTAAATCGAAAAAAGTAATGGAATAACTGAATATTTCTTGGAATTGAATTCTTATAAAGAATTTTATCGACAAATTTTTTAATAATTGAATTCTGTCGACGAATTTTAATAAAATTCTTAAGAATAATTACATTTTCAAAGAATTTATTTTAAAATTGTATATTAAAAATATTTGAAATTCTGCGATGAATTTTACTATTTATGAAAGTAATTGAATAATTGCTCAGAATTTTATTTTTTCTATAAATAATTAAACACTTTTGGAAAATTTTATTGAAAATAATTAAATAGTTTTAAAAAATGTTATTCAAATGTTTTGCATTGATTCTAAGAATTTTATGAAAATAAAAAAAAATGTTTCGAAGTTTTTAAAACTTTTTGTAAATAATTCAATTCTTATGGGAAATTTTATTTTAACAATTCAAAATAATTGAATTTTGACGAAGAATTTTACTAAAAATTTTAGAAAATAATTTAATCCTCAAGAAGAATTGAAGTAAATTGTAATTATAGGAGATAATTGAATTTCATCGCAAAATTGTATTAAAATTTCAATTAAATTAATAAAAATCTTATTTATAAAAGAAAGTTGTTAATATTTTTGAAAATAATTGAATTTTTTAAAGAATTTTATTTCAATTTTTGAAAATAATAATAATTTAATCTTTCAGAAGAATTTTCTTAAATTTTCCGAATATAATTGAATTTGTGACTAAAATTTTATTATTCAAGACAATAATTAAATTTTTCCTAAGAATTTTATTCAAAGTTTGGGAAATAATTGAATTATAACAAAGAAATTAATTAAAATTTGTATATTAATTGGATTTTTAAAAACAAGTTGCATTTTAAATAATTGAAAATCAGCCGTGAGTTTTATTACTTCTGAAAATAATTAAATTCTTGTAACTTGAATTTGTGGAAAGTATTTTATAATATTTATGAAACAATTGAATTCTGACGAAGAATTTTATTAATTTTTTTTTTAAATAAATTAATTATCGTTAAAAATTTTATGATTTGTGAAAATAATTGAATTCTTTTGAAGAATTTTAATGAAATTTTTAAGAATAATTGTATTTTTCGAAGAATTTTATTAATTTTTTTTCAATAATTGAATCCCTGTGAAAAGTTTTATTAGTTGTGAAAATAATTAATTTCTTGCTAACAATGTTATGAAACATTTTTGAATAATTGAATTCTAGTGAAAATTTTTATTATTTGTGAAAATAATTGAATTATTGTTAAAAATTTTATGATTCGTCAAAATAATTGAATTCTTTTGAAGAATTTTAATGAAATTTTTTAGAATAATTGCATTTTTCGAAAAATTTTAATAAATTTTATAAAATAATTGAATTTTTATAAAAATTGTTATTATTTGTAAAAAAAGTTGAATTCTTGCTAAGAATGTTATGAAAATTTTTTGAATAATTGAATTCTAGTGAAAATTTTTATTATTTGTGAAAATAATTGAATTCCTGCGAAAGAATTTTATTAAAATTTTTTGAATTGTTTCTAAGAATTTCATTAAAGATTTTTCGAGAATAATAATTTTTTTATTTCATCTATTAGCGAATTGAAAGTAGTGGAAATTTTTTAAAAAGAAAAAAAATTAACTTTTAGTGTCAGAAATATAAAAAAAAGCTCTAAATAATAAATTTGATCTTTTTTTATTTTATTTTTTGTATATTGAAAATATAATGTAAAAATAATTGTTAAGCAGAATTTTCTTTTCACTTTGAGATTTTCTTTTTTTTCGGTGCTTATTATTTAAATTATAATAAAAAATAATTAAATAAATTTCAGGTACAAAGCGGGAGAAAAAATCGATTTAACAGTTCAAATCACTGCCAATCACATAGGTTACTTTAAATTTGCAATTTGCCCACTAAAAAATGCTGACGACATCGAAACAGAAGCTTGCTTCAAAAAATACCCAATAACTCTGATGAACAACAAGGATAGGTACACGGTACCAGCGAGACTTGTCGGACTAATAAAAATAAAAGCCTATCTTCCGGAAAATCTCACCTGCGAACGATGTGTCCTGCGATGGCATTATCGGGCAGGCAACAATTGGGGAGTCTGTCCAAATGGAAGAGGGCAATTGGGCTGTGGAAATCAAGAGACATTCCGAACCTGCTCCGATATTGCAATTGATCCATAATTTATTAATTTCCCATCCTCATCTTTTTATACAAAAAAATGTACCTGCAACAAAAAATTAATTAAAAAATTAATTTAATCTTTTTATACTATAAAAAAATGTATCTGTCAAAAAATTAATTTCCCACCTTTAATCTTTTTATACTAAAAAAAAAATGTACCTGACAAAAGAAATAATTTTGTCTTAAAGAGCCAGAATATTTTTTAAGTAACAGATGCAATATTTATTATAATTGTTTTTTTTTATTTAATTTTTTTAATCATTTTTTTTATTCAGATATTTTGCGATTTTTATACAGATCTTGATATTGAAAATTTTAATATTTTATTAAATTTGTAAACTTTTTTCAAACTATTTGTAAACTGTTTGTAAACTATTTGTAAACTATTCATAAAATTTTTGTAAACTATTCGTAAACTATTTGTAATAATAAAAAGTCTATTAATAATCGACGTATTCCGAATGTTTTTTCGCAGTTTTCATATTGAAATTTTCCTATAAGATTCAATCGCCTGATGGAAAGCAACCCGTCATTCCCACGTGTAGTTTGGAAAAACCATCAAAAGTTGATAAAAAGAGACCTACAAAATTTTTCAACTCCAAAAATGTTAGTGATTTTTTACTCTAATTTCAATCTCATCCATTAATTCATTACCTTATTATTATTTAATAATATTTATTATTAATAATTATTTATTATTAATTATTTATTATTATTAGTTACTTATTACTATTTATTATTATTATTTATGGTATTATTTATTACTATTTATTATTATTAATTATTAATTTTTATTTATTTTTATTTATTATTATTAATATTTTGTATTATTTATTTATTGGAATACTGAGTGAATAATTCTTCATTCAGTATTCCAATTTCAATAATAGCCAACAAAAATCGAATTACAATAAAATTACGAAAACTTGTAAATAATTTAAATTTTTACACCGCAATAAAACTTTAATTTAATTAACATATATATTATTTAAGATACTAAGTCTTGCTTTCGAATTATTGATTTCACTTTATGAAATTCTACCAGCAACAATGATCAATTGTACCTCCTACATGAAAATGTTCTTATTCATATAAACCACATATTGTAAAATCAACACCATTGTATATTGTCTTGAAAATTTTCGATTTAGATCCATATATTAAATGATGAAAATTATAATAATATTCATCGTTGGCATGTTTCATTAGAAATGAGAAAAAAAAAATTTTTTTTTTTTGACGTTTGTAATATTTAAGTACATGCACATATATGATCACTTGCGTATATACACATCATATGCGGATCTTCGACACACTTTCACCAATATTATACATACTTTACGTGTCTACTTCCAAAACCTCATCCAAATGAGATTTTTCGAAGAAATTGGAAATTAATTTATTCCATAATTTTTGAAACGACTGTTTGTATTTAAAGAAAGCAGGAAATTATGAAATGCATTTATAATATTTTTTATGTGAAACAAAATTTTAAAATAATTTTAAATTAGTAATTTTTAAAAATTATTTCCTATATTTAAAAAATAATCATACTCACAACACGCAAATAAAAAAAAAATAACATATTTTTCTATACTTTCAAATTGAGACCAAAAAAAATTCAAAAATTAATTCCAAAAATCCATACAATAAGTCCTTAAAAAATTCAATTATTTCCTGAAATTTTAACTAAAATTCACTTTCAAATAATTTTTTATTAGAAAGTTCTACGGGAAATTATTTAAATACAAAAGTAAATAATTTAAATTGAATATTTCTTAAAATTGAATTCTTATAAAGAATTTTATTAACAAAATTTTAAGTAATTGAATTGTTTTAACGAATTTTATTAAATTTTTTTTAGAAATTTTCGAACCATTTTGTAAATAATTCAATTCCTTTGGGAAATTTTATTCAAAAATTCAAAATAATTGAATTCTGAGGAAGAATTTTATTAAAATTTTCGAGAAATAATTGAATTATATACAGAAATGTTTATTAAACTTGCAATTAAATTAATAAAATCTTAATAAAGAATTTTATCCAAATTTTTGAAAATAACAGAACTTTTCGAAGAATTTAATTTCAATTTTTCGTAATAATAATAAAATAATTTCAGAAGTATTCTTGAAAATTTTCCGAATATAATTAATTTCGTGACAAAAATTTTATTATTATATTCATAAAAAAATTAAATTTCTTTTAAGAATAATTTATTAAAACTTTTGAAAATAATTAAATTCTAAGGAAGAATAATTAAAATTTATCATAATAATTGAATTACACAAAAGAATTTACTTGAAATTTTTTCAAATAATTTAAGTCTGTCGGGAAGTTTTATTTGGAAATTAAAAATAATTTAATTTGTGAGAAGTATTTTGTATTTTGTATTTTTATCAAAATAATTGAATTACAATTTTTTCAAATAATTGAAACCCTGTAAAAATGTTATTATTTTTTAAAAATAATTGAATTCTCAGAAAGTATTTTATAAAAATATTTTAAATAATTTTTTTGCAAAAAATTTTATTCAAATTCTATATTTTAAATAATTGAATTCCTGTGAAATTTGTATTATTTTAAAAATTAATTAAATGTTTGCGCAAAATTTTATCAAACATTTTTTTTAATTATTGAAATTTTTTTAAATAATTGAATTCTTTCGAGAATTTTTATTTGGAAATTTTAAATAATGGAAATTTTGAGAAGAATTTTTTTATTTGTTAAAATAATTTAATTATTGTTAAGTTTATTTATATTTTGCTAAATAATTGAGTTTCCGTGAAAAATTTTATTATTTGCAAAAATAATTGAATTTTTGCAAAGTATTTTATAAAAATAATTAAAATAATATTTTTGAGAAAAATTTTATTCAAATTCTATTTTAAATAATTGAATTCTTGTGAAATTTTTATTGTTTTAATTAATTAAATGTTTGCTTAAAATTTTATCAAACATTTTTTTTTAATTATTGAAATTGTTTTAAATAATTCAATTCTTTTGAGAATTTTTATTTGAAAATTTTAAATAATGGAATTTTTGAGAAGTATTTTTTATTTATTTAAAATAATTAGGTTTTTGGGAAAAAGTTTATTTAAATTTTCTAAATAATTGAGTTTCCGTGGATAATTTTATTATTTGTAAAAATAATTGAATTTTTGCATAGTACTACATAAAAATATTTTAAATAATTTTTTTGCGAAAAATTCTATTCGAATTTTATTTTAAATAATTGAATTCTTGTAAAATTTTTATTTTTAAATATAATTAAATGTTTTCTCAAAATTTTATCAAACATTTTTTTTTAATTATTAAAATTGTTTTAAATATAATTGAATTCTTTCCGATAAGTTTTATTTGTAAATTTAAAATAACGGAATTTTTGAGAAGTATTTTTTATTTGTTAAAATAATTAAACTTTCGGGGAGAAGTTTATTTAAATTTTCTAAATAATTCCGTTTCCGTAGATAATTTTCTTTGTTGTGAAAATAATTAAATTCTTCAAAATATTCATTTTCAAAAAAATATAGGTATTAAAATAAAATCATCACAGTTTTTCTAAGGATGTTAGATTGAGACAAAAAAAAAGTATTTGAATTTATATTCAAAACAAAAAATTTACATTCAATAATAAAATTTATTATTTGCTACTTGTCTCAATTTGATATCCTTAGAAAAACTGTTACGAAGTCTTTTCCGTGTACCTATCAAAAAAAACCCTGAAGAAAACTATAAAATATTCTTTTTCTGTTTTCCCCGAAAATCATATAGAATTTTTCATGTGATTTGCCTCTTTTGAAAGAGAATATTTAAGAATTTCGCAATTATTTTTTTAGGAGTGGAAAAAAAGTGTCCTTGATTTAATTTCGAACCGAAAGATACCTGCAGTTGCACACCTGTCGGGGGATTCCTTTCAAGATTTCAGTTAGACCCGCGTAGCGATCTATCGTTATTTACCAGCTGGATTTCTATATACCTACTTTTTTGAAACCTCAAAAAGTTTCCAGAACGAGGAAAGGAGAATCCTTTTAAAAAATTTTTAAAAAAATACTCGAGGAAGTCACTTTTTTCGTTACAAACTCTTTTGTACAAAAAAAAAGTTTTTATTTTATTTTTTTTTAATTTTTATTCTCTTTGAAAAGAGTGATAATAAAATATTGCAGATGGACCTTAAAAAAAAGAAAAAGAAGGAGAAAAGAGAGAAATAGAGAAAGAGAGAGAAAGAGAGAAAAAAAGAGATAAAATTCGGAAAAAAGGGAAAAAATATTAGATAATATTCCAATGGAGCGTGACATTTGAAGAATTTTCCACTATGAATGAAAGTAAAATGGTTTTCAATTTTTTTCCCTAATTGTCAATTAGTGTCGCTTGAGTTTTTGAAGAGAGGCACCCGGTATAGAATCCGGTGACCGTCCTTGTCTAATGTTTGACTCCAAGAAATCTTTAAGGAGAAAAGCGAGAGGATCAGCTAAGTTCTCTCGTCGTTCATATATAATACTACATATATATATATATAATGTAAAAGCGATTTTACTGCTGACGTACTTGACGTGACCAAATTAATATTAAACGAAAAATTTCTCAGTTTTCCTTTTGCATTTCTCGTTTAGTACCTACATTTCCATCTGATTTTGTCATATAATTCTTTTTCCCCTGTCACTTTAAATACTTTCCACTCGTGTGTGTTGTATAATGGAAATTAGAAAACTAATTGGCCTTTTAGTTCAATAAATAGATAACAGATAAAAAGTATATACTATAATACTGAAGGATTGCCACAAAAAATTCATTTTGTCTTTCCCTGACATTTGCCTGATTTGCAGACAAAATTTTGACTTTTTTCCTGACTCTAAAAAATATTCTGATTCACTCTAAAAATTATTATAGGTATTCAAAAAAATGTTCTAATCCTTTGGCGAATTTCTATACGAATTTTCATATCCATTAGTTTACAATTATTCAATTTTATGAAAAATTTAATTATTGAGAAATTCTGTAATGAAATAAATTAGAAAATAAAACTTCAAAGAATGTTTAAATAATTCGAATTAAAAATTTTCAAAAAAAGTAGTTTTACAGAATTGTTAATTACTAAAAGTATGAATTTAAGAATTTCAAAA